GCGCAATTATCTTAGATACCTCTTACCATTTTTCCAGAATCGTCCAATGAAATGTGGTAATTTTTAGGATTAAAAAAAATATTTATTTTCGAACCGAATATTTCCAAAATACTGCTCCAGAATCATAAACATGCTGTATTTTTCGAATGAGTAATTTTCAAAATTTCGAGCTTTTTTCACTTTCGAAAATTCCCCAAAGAGATTTTTTGTAGATTTTGAACGCTAGAAGTTCTTTTCGATCACATTTCTTCAAAAATTTCTATCATTTTTCCAGAATCGTCCAATGGATCATGTCAACTTTTACGAATAATAACAAAAATTAAACAATATTTTCTGACGTACTGAGATTTATATCCTAGATTTTTTGTTTTTTTTTTTCTGATATTTTTATAAAAGCTCAATTTTTCATTCCCTCTCCTTATGGAATTTTTGACCTTTGCAGAAGTTATTTTCGGCTACATTTTTTCGAAAATTCTGTTTCTCCAGAATCGCCAAAATGAAATATGAACATTTATAAGATATTTAAAAAATTTGATTTGCCTTTGTCCTGTCAATAAAAACCAAAAATGTACATTAATTTGACCCCAGTTTTAAACGCACCATTTTTGCATAACAATAAAATTTTATGACCCTATTGCCAACAATATTCGACCAATGTTAACATTATTTCACAATATTAAATCTTACCTACAAATAAGTTAATTACCAAGTAGAGCAGATACGGCCCTGTCCAGAATTTGACAACCGCCAAAAATTAATAAAGATTTTTTTTCTTAAATTCGTCTGTGTCCATTTAGAATGCTTTACAATTTTAAGAATTATATAACTAATTGTATAGTGAACCAAGACCTATAAGGTTATATGGCCATCATAAAAGTAGTTGACCGCAAATGAATATCCCCTTTGTGTGGTTCGCACTAAGCTTACCGGTTGGCAATAAATCATCTTCTAAACATTTCTTGCTCATATTTAACAGGGCCGGCTTTCAAAGCGAGTGGTTATTTCGGAACCCTCAGCGGCTGCAGGTAGTAAAGAAATAGTGGAGAGGTGGATTTTCATATTTAGTGAAAGCCGCCCCTGAACGAAACCACAAGAGCCGGTCGAGCTGCAGTGGACACGTTATTTACGACCCTAAAACCTTTTCTATTGTAAACAACTTAACTTCGACACAATGGGATGATTTTATGATGGCCATATAACCTTATAACTCTTGGTTCACTATAGTTATACAGACAATCCTGTATAAAGGACAAATTAATGTAAAAACTTATAACTATCACTATTTTTTTCTAATTTTTAAAATATAATATATTCAGATCTGAAACAACAACGTGTAATTCAATACACAGCAGAATTAATTTTTTTTGGAAAGTTTTACCACAAAAATTTCAAATTTTCTATTTTGAAACCTATAAAAAATTTCTTCAATTAATAAGTCCGATTTCTGTATGTCAAAGCTGAAATTAATGAATGAAAGTTGTCTGCCTCCATATTTTTTTTAATTATTTTTTATTAAAAGTGATACGAATTTCGAAAATCACTGTTCTCGTCTTCAGTCAGAAAAACTAAAGATATATTTTTGCTCCAGAATAAGCCTAGAAGGGGTGACGGTGTCTGTATAGTCCAAACAATAGGAGAAGTAGAGTCTAGTCAAATCCATTCTGGTCGAGTCGGAATTATTGTGTACATAATCGCTGTATGATTAGTGGTGTAAATTTGAGTTACTAAGAAATAAATTGTTGAGTTTACCCACGCCGATTTTAGGTGTCCGTTCAAGGTAACACTGCAATGGGGCAAAATGTTCTGACTATTATTTTAGGTAAGCAGCTGTTATTATGATAATTCTTATTTTATTCCTACTATTAAATATAGTCGGGCGAACATTACTGTATTCTCAAATTTTCGAAAAAGTGGGACGAATCCTATGTAATTTGATCACTAAATAATTGTCACCTATGAGTCAATCAAACCACTGACCTTCAACATTTTTACAGATTTGATTTAATTTTTTTTGCAAAAATCTGGATACCTAGGGTAAAAAAACAAGGCTGATTCATAAAGTACAAGTGTAGAGGTACATTATTTTTCACAATTTAAATGACGTTTACAAAAAAAGCCAGGACGTCATCAAATTGTTGATAGAGATGGTTAGACAAATTTTGATTAGCGTTTTACTATCTACATGAGATTCCTAATATACGTGTAAAATTTACTAATAGGGTAAATGTGTACAAGAGTACGCACTTAGTGGAAAACTGTCAACAACTTTTTAATTTTTTTGGATAGACAAATTTTATGATATGGGTTCGTTATATACATGTTTAGAGATCAGATATATTTAATTGTACGCCCCAACACCACTATATTTTAAGAGTAATTTCAATTTTTGTCAAGATGTGTAAATGCGCACTGTTAGACAGTTCATTGCACAAGAGTGCGCATTTGAACGCTTATGAGTACGCATTACATTTTATGAAAAAATATTTGTTTCTAAGGTGAAAATAAATGGGAATAAGTGACTACAGACTACACATAAAACGGGAGACCTATTTCTTCGTACTCTAGGGGTCTTGAAAAGACGAGAAAACGTAAAAATAGAAAGTCGGTCGAAGGACTCGATTACAACACGCTCAGGAAGTAAAAATAAAAAAAAAATCACCATAACCACCACCCCACAACTCGAGAAGCAGTACAAAGTAGTAGAGTTAAATAATTCATTACCGTATGATATGTATCTCCAAGACTATTAGACTACATATTGCAAGCAATGCGCACGCTTATACAATACCTCGCTGCGCACTCTTGTACATTTGTACATAACCTAATGTTTTCAAAGTTAAAAGCTTTTGATGGACAGAAAGTGTAAAACTGTTAGTGTATAACGACACCTTAAAAGTTACAACTAATGAAAATTATTACTGTAAAATAAAAGAACTGGTACGTACCTTACAAAAAACTAAAACTATGAGCGGTAAAAATTACATCCACACAACGTGTGAACATAAAATCGTCAGTACGACCAAACTATAAACTATATTCAGGTCACTTTTGCACCTTTATCTCAGGTTTAACATTAAATTCTGAATGGTATAACTTCATCTTACCCAGATGGCACTAATAAGCAGAAATCATCAGTGCGTACTCTTATACATATGCGCACTCTTGTACACATTTACCCTAGTCGGTCTAGTGTAGCTTCTGAGATTATCCATCTATTAAAAATCGACACAAACGACAGACAGACAGACAGACAGACGGACGGAAACGGAAGACCTATTTGTTCGTACTCTTGTTACAATATCTTAGCTTAAATTCTGGACGTAGTTGATAAATAAAGACAAAATTAATTATTATTGTTTAAATTTAGGCAATATCTTACTGTTACTTTTTTCGTCTTCTTTGTTCCTCAGATTAAACTCAAAAATAGATTTATAACTTTTTTAACTTTGCTAATCGACTTGCACGATTTTTGAAATATTTTTAAAATAAAGAAAATGGAGTATATCGTTTTTGATTTGATATTTCAATATTCAATTCAATATTTTGACAGATTAGACACGCATAAAATTTGATAATGCAATTTGTATTTTTCTCAAAAAATACAGATACATAGAATAAAAAATTAAGACGGGTTCATAAACCACAAGTTTAAGAGTATGTTATTTTGTAAAATTCATTTAAATGGCGTTTAATAAAAAATTTTGAAGGGACGTTATTCAATTGTTGGTGGGGATGATTTGCCAAATTTTTAATGCACGGCATTCCTGAAGTACGTATAAAATTTGTCAACAGTCGCTCCAGTAGTTTCCGAAATTATGTCCAATAAAAATCGAGACGTATGATTGGCGTAGAGTCGGCCACGTGGTATTTTAACGCCCTGTTAAAAATTAATGGCTTCTGAGAATATTTTTAAATATAGATACCTATGTGATCGAAATCTCCATTTTCGTAATCGACGCGCTGTGAACTGCCGTAAAAATATTGATTTTGAGATTTCTCAAAATGACTCTTTTACAGTACTTTCATAAGTTGCTTGTGCTATCCTTTAGAAAATTAAAATACGTCTAACATTTGTAAATTTTAATTTATCTTTATAAATTAAAAATAGGAGGATGGCGGTGAGACTCTTAAGAAACCCTATATCTCTATGAGGCAACGGCAACGTTTATTAATACGAAGTGTAGTACGTGAGAAGTTAGTTACACTTGATAAATCAGGCAGGAAAAGCATACATTATAAAAAGAGATTTATTAATTTATTTAAATTATAGAAGTTGTACTTAAATGTAATTAGAGTTATTACAAGCGCCCCCAAGTAGCACTATAATCTAGTATTTATTGATTAATCTACTTACAGTCCTTTTTTTTCAAATGATTACGCAATTTTATTTCACGACAAATTAAAATTCAAATATTCCTAAATTATTTTACATGTTATAAATTTTTTTCCGTTTTAATCGTTCGTGAAAGCTCATTAGTCATTACGAAGGCGAAAAATGCACCAAACCGTACGTAAAAAGAACGTCTATTTATTCCTTCTTATTTCCGTCTCAGTTTAGCTTTCTAATGACGACAAAAATTATTCATCAAAAAAATTCTGCATAAGTTAGGCGCCAGTCGAGGCGATGAGCAACACCTTCCAGTTTTTAGACTAAGCACGAAAAAATTATTTAAAAAAAACGAACAATCCCGAATTAAGACACTAAAAATGTCAGTTTTATCAAAAGGAAATTCTGTGATGGTTAATCGCAATGTTAGACCACGAGTCGCCTCGCTAAAAAAACGGTTCAAAAAAGGCGAGATTTTTTCCCGTTTTCGCGTGAATAATTACGCATTCCGAGCGTCCACGCACGCACCTCCCCCGCAACCCCTTGGTCCGTCCCGTCGGGCCGTCCCCGACGGATCCCTCCTTATCCGCGCTAATTATCCGTGTGTAATTAGGCGTAAAAAGCGTCGATAAGGCTCGTCCTGCGATCGCACGCAGCTAGTCTATCTCGAGCAGCCTTGCAGTCCGCGTCGTCGTTCCTCCGAGCGCGAGCGCGCGAAGTGTCGTAGAGTGGTCTTGGACGCCGCCGCCGCCGCCGTCCCGTCAGTCTAGGGCCGCCCTCGGCGCAGTAAGCTGGACTCCGCGATCGCGTCTTGTGCTTGTGTGCGATGTGCGGTGGTGGCTAGTGCTCAGGGATGCCGAGCACCGGCTCTCCCGGGGACCATGCAGAGGTGGCCGTGAAACCGTGAGGCGGCAACGCGGCAGACATGTGTACGATATCGTACCGGAGATGTGCATGTTTCGTGTTCCTAGTGGTCCTAGTTGTGAGTTGTTCAGGTTTCCGCGCGGATAGTCTGGAGATGACGGACGTTAGCAGGAGGAACTCGCCGGAGGGGGCGCACCGCCTGCGCCACCGACGCCAGGCGGTGGCGCCGCGCCGCCGCCTCCACTGCCCCGAGTTGGACGCGTCGTGGAAGGCGTACCGGGCGGACGCCGTCGCCGTGGCCAGCGTCGACAGCAGGAGCTTCAAGTGCAAGGGCAACTGCCCGGTGCAGTTCAAGATACACCAGTGGCTGAAGAACCACCCGCCCTACGACGATGAGCTGATTAGGCTCACGTTCCGCACAGAGAGGGGCGCCGTCTGCGACAGCGACGACGCGGAGACGACGACGCCCTACTTCCCAGTCAAGAGTATCGAGCTGAGCAAGAAGTACATCCTCTTCCTGAGGACGGACGGGCCGCACAGCTACAGGGCGGCGTACGCGCCGGAGATCTCCAAGAACAAGACGATCAAGACAGTGAGGAGAGTTAGCGACGCGCATTTCAGTAAGTTCTTTTGATCGTCCTATGAAAGTGGAAATCGTCACCGAAGACCTGCCACTAGGTGCAGGAGCTCAAGCTTATAAAGATTCACCACAAAAAAAACTAACAATAATTCTTGATTAAAGCTAGTTCATGGTTATATAAACACCAAAATGTTAAATTCGAAAACTGTCATCGCGCACAGAAAAATTACGCTATGCATAAAAACCAGAATTTTTGAATTTGTTCTGGGATGGCGTTGTGAGATTTTTATTTTTTACCATGGACGCTGTCAAGAAAAAATAGAGCTAAAGTTACGCAATTTTGATTTTTTTTTTTTGAAAATACATAAAAAAAAATTAGGTTCGAAGTTTATCTTTCTAATTTAATCAAATCGCCAACAGATGATCGACTACAAACAGACATAGTTGGTAAACCTACTTCTTCGTACCCTAGGGATTATGAAACCTTGAGAAACAAGAAATTAATCGCCAAATTGACTCTACTGTAAACTGTAATACTTCCCAAGCTTACGCTAAGTTACGAAATTATTTACACTAAAGAGTTTATTACGAAATTCAGTTAATTTGAATTGTTATTTTTCTAGTTAAAAATAAAATCAAACCAAATATCATTTCTAATATACGTACACGAAAATCGAAAAAGAAACAAAAACTAGCTGGCGTCACCGGCCAATTTATTTAAGAAACTAAATATAACCTTAAAATGTTTGTAAAGTTCCAGAGCATTCGATTTTGCAGTTTCTAAGTTAAACTGTGAAAAAATCAAAGCGGATTCATAAACCGCAGCGATTTGCTATGCAAAATTTGTCATTAAATTATTGAAGGGGATGATCAGACAAGTTATGGTTTGTTATCCATAAATACAAAAAAAAGGTCACAGCGATCAGTCCACTATTTTAATCGACTAGCTCTCTAACAAAATCGCCAGCATACTACTAACAGACAGACGAAACCGGGAGACCTATTTTCCATGCTATAGGGGCCATGAAACGTCGAGAAACTATGAAATGAGCCGTTCGCTTACGCCCACGATTTTATCTATACCCCGAAAAAGTTACGAAATTATTTACACTAAAAAGTTAATTGTGAAATTCAATTTAATTTTAGTTGAACGTATTGTTACTAATTTTTGTAGTAAAAAAAATTGCATTTTCAGTGTAAAATGAATGAAGATTTATTAATATCTAAAAATAATCGTGATGAATTTTTCATTCGTTGTCAGACGCAGGGGCAGAGCGTAATAAACAAACGTAATTACAAAATGGAAGCCCCGCCCACCGGCCCTATCCCAATTGTGATGATTTTTTTATTCGTCGTGAGTCAAGAGGGCGGAGATTAACTGCAAAATCACTATTTCTCTACGAGAAATAAAATCATGTTTTTGAGTGTCGTGTTCCTCAAAGAATGCGATGTATATTAAGAAAAAGAAATAAAGCCAAAGATTAAGCCCCACCCACACGCCTCGATCTTAATTTTGATGCAGTTTTAATTGGTTGTCAGACCGAGAGGTGGGGCGTAACTGCAAAGTCGATAATTCCCTTCACAAATTTACTATTTTAAACATATGTATTTTAAGTTTTTTGTTGTAAAAAGATGACTACAAACATTAAGAAAAAAATTTGCAAGGTTTTAGAACATTCGGATTTTAAGTTTCTAAGTTAATTTTTGTTATCAAAAATATGTATCTAGAGTAAAGCATCAAGGTGGATTCATAACTCACAGGTATATAAATTAAATGCAAAATTTTAAGATCAGATTGTTTGTACGGATGATCAGACAAATTTTGGCTAGTGTTTACCATTTACACACTAGCCCTAAATACATAAAAAGTTCACAGTAATCAGTCCATCAGTTTTATAAATTATGTGTAATAACATCACTTATAGGCAGACAGACAAAAACGGGAGACCCATTTTTTCATACTATAGAGGTCATGAAACGTCGAGAAAACATGACATGACGTCCACGAACCAAAATCGGCAACACAGGGAATCAAGGAAAATACTTACGACATTTTATCTATAGCCCAAAAAGTTACGAAATTATTATTGTATTTTAATTATAAATTGATGTCAAAATTAACCGGAACCGGGCTTTTTTAAAATGCTCGTTTTCAAAGAGGAAATTCGATTTTGTAATTTCTAAGTTAAATTGTAAAATGTTGTCACACAATCTTGCTTTTTTTCCAAAAATTTGGACATTTGTGGTAAAAAATCAAGGTGGATTCATAAACCAAATCTACTAATCTATTACTATGCAAAATTTTGACATGACGTCAACAAATATCCCTAAATACACAAAAAAATTCACACCAATCAGTCCACTACCTTCAAAGATTATCGAGAAAATATTAAATAAACCATTGGCTGACACCCATGAAGTAAAAACGACAAGAAAAAGAATCAAGGAAAATAATTTGACATTTTTTTGTGATCACCAAAAATGAAAATACGTGTTTCTAATCTTTTTCGTTATCATCTTCGCAACAACATAAAATTGACTAAGTTAGCCATCAGCTGGCTATAAACATTAACAAACTAAACGGAAAGTACCTTATCTTGTATAACGTAAATAAGTCAATCTATACTTTAAAACGAAACAATAACCACTTAAACTACAGACTAAATAAACGACATATTAATCTAAAATATTGTTGCAACCATTTATTTACATGGTCCAGCAACTCAACAGTTTATGTGGTTACATCGCTGGAACGGTACCCATGGCATAGATTCACTAGAGCTAAGTATATTAAAGTTGATATACCGGGTGAATCAGTTTGGTTTTCGCACCCGTCACACAATAGGACTTACACTGATTGAAAAAATATTTGTGACTGTAGAGTTTTGCCGGAAGTGACAGCCATTTTTTTTACCGAACGCGGAGTACTAAAATCCGCAAATTAATTAAATATTTATTTACTTTTTATTTTGGTGTTTTTTCTTCGTTATTTATCTGCGAAAATATCAGCTCGACTATGAGTGTATAAGGACGAGAAAAAATTCTACCGGATAGACTGAAAAGTATACATACAATCCATCCAAAAATGCCAGTCATTTCCGGCTAAACTTGATATTTATAATTATTCTCTGCTTCGGCGTAAGCATAGGTTTTCAAATTATTGCATTTGATGTGCCCCAGGTTACACGCGTTGGGAGTTCTACAGTATCAGTACCAAACTAAATTCGTGCGTTTTCGTAACATAAAAAGACTTCTAAAAAATATACAGTGTCGTATTCAAAGAATCTCAAATAGACGTAGCTATTGTAGCTCGCTGCGCCCGCTAGACATAGTGTGCAATGTGACATATAGTACCAAAACAACATACCACTCTTTTCACTCTCGAAATATCAATGTACACTAAAACACAACGGAACCACTTACAGTACGACTTAAATAAAGCGACAGGTTAACACTAAACAAGATCGTGGTTACATCGCCGGAACGGTACTAACTAAATCAGTTCATAGACACAAAGAACTACTCTATTTCAACTATGAGAGCAACGCAACGTAGCACGATAGTAAATACAGCTCGCTTCGCTCTCTGAAAAAAAAGAAGCCATTTTCACTCACATAAACTGCATAATAATAAAATCTAAACCCAATTAACTGATTTTAGAACAATTTATTTCCTGAGAAATAACCACTCAGAACGCATAGAGTACCCGTAAATAAAACGCCGGATTAACACTAAAATTCTGTTGTAACAATTTATTTACATGGTCCAGCAGCTCAACAGTTTACGTGGTTATTTCGCCGGAACGGTACCCACCAAATGGATTCACGGCTTGGTTGGAAGATTCACTGCTGAACGCCCCCACGATACAAAAAACGCTTCATCTTGTATTCACATTACGCGGCAAGTACTGATGGTACTGCCAGTCTGATTTTTATTGTAGTGTCTCGAGCAGTACGTTCACACTCAAAATTAGACATCCTCTGATTTTTCAGACGCAAAACTGGGTCACATTTAGCATCACTTAAAGCAAAATTCGCCGATTCAGCCCGTCGAAAAAATGATGACGTCACAGTATGCTAAATAAATCGAAAAAATACAATTGTTTCAACGAGACCGTGATTGTTCGAAGGTGAAGTCGCTCAATCGTCGACGATAATTATTGTTTCATTTCAATCCTTGCACTTTATTTTTGTAAAAGCGCAACACAAGAATGCACTTAATTTAGCGTTGTGTAAGAACGATAGCCGTCAAAAAATAAATCATACGGATCTGTAATCCGCATATCTTTGTGTTTATCTGATATTAACTGTGCTTATTTTTCGAAATCGGATGCGTAGTGATTAAACAAACATTTTTAATGGGGGATAAAAATCAAGACGGATTCATAAACCACAAGTGTAGGAGTATGTTATTTTATACAATTTAGTTGAGTAGTGTTTTAACTTCTTAGAATCACCATGTATATGTCTCTTCAGGTCTGAAAAACGCACGATTGATCTACATAAATGCCTGAAATGCCAGAGCGGCGCGTAGGTGTGTATGCAAACTATTAGAGTGACAATCGGCTGTCAAGAACCGAAGCATCACCCATCGAACCCATCGAACCCATGAACCCCCATCCAACGGCAACATCCTCTACTTTATTCATTCCGCTTCTGAATTATGCATCACACACGCTTAAAATTCCATAATTTCGACAAGCCCAATTATGCGATGTTCCGAACTGGCGTGTACGAGGGTGGGTCGAAAAGTGTCGCGGCCTTGAACCCCGCCCCGCGAAAAGCCGCCGAAGCGTGGAAAGTTTGCCTCGACTTTCCGATTAAAAATTAGTCAGCACATTATTCAGCGAGAATTTCGGCTCGGCAGACGTTTTCGAAATGTTTTTAAAGCGAGATATATTGCTGGCAGTTTTGGCAACCGATTTATTTGGCACATCATATCGGAGCTTATGTGAATATATTAGAGAAAATGAGCAGAGGTTGATGCACTTTTATATCATTCAATTCGGATTTACGACGTTATTTTTCGCGATCAGACGGA